CGGGTGATGGCGCAATTTGTTCTAAAAATAGAATTATTGTCCCATATCATGGGGACAACCCCAATACTTGAAATGGCGCGCGCTTACGGTCTCCTTCCCAGATTATTGCTCCTGATAAGACATAACTCTTGCACGCCCTGTGCGCCTATATTATAGCCACAGACAGACAGACAGAAAGATAGACAGACAGACAGACAGACAGAAAGATAGGCAGATAAGCAGATAGATAAACGTTATAAACATGTCAATATACTCGTGACAGATGAGCAAACTAAAACGGTAGCGTATTTTGTTTCGTGGAGGATTTAGCAATATGACAACCGGTGTTCAGGAACAGATGACTGCTTCAATAAGGTTTTCCTCTAAAAGCGTTTGTTTTTGCCAAGAGTTACGACTATACTTTATCATAGATGTGTTGCTGTCGAGAGAGAGAAGGTTTACTGACATTCAAAGCCAGGAACACGACGAGGGTCTTGCAAAGAGCTCGTACATAGCCCAGGAATACAATTCCTTACAAGGAAATAGTATTTGATCATTTTATTTCTTATTTGATAGCAACATTTCATTCACCCCAGCAGTGAATTATAACACGTCTGTGAAAAGTTTTAATTTCAAACAGCAAATCACTCCACCCGCTTGATTTTACGCCCTTAATTTATAACCTTATCATTTCCGTCAGTTCTTTTTACTGGACCAAGATGTACCCCATGGCCTTGATGTGTTTGTGTCCGTTGTCTGGATGATGCGTAGCCTCGTTTCCACACGTGTTGGAGTCGTCGTTGTTCCCTCCGGTGCCAAACCCAATCCTGGAGTCGGGTGAATCGCAATCATTTTCTTGATTAGCAATATAACCAATTCGTGCCTTTCCATTAATGGAGTTGCCAGCTATAACATTGAAACCTTGTCTGTTGCAGTTGCTCTGCAGGGAGGCCTCAGGGCCGATCAAAAACTTCCATGCGTCACGAACCAGTGAGGTGGGGCGGTATTTACCATCTTGAATCAGGGCGTACAACGAGCTAGCCTTCTTGTTGAGAAGAATGAACCTGGTCTCGTGTCCAATCTTCATGCCGAGACAGATCCTGGTAAATGGTGTGTTCCAGTAGGTTGGTAGCTTTGTTTCTTCCTGGTCTAAGCCTGTTTCTCCTTCAGGAATGCCATATTCTCTCTTGTCGGTCCAGTAGGGCGAATCGTAATGAAACGTCCGCTGCAAAATAAGTTAAAAAGGTTAGGATGCCTTGTGAGATTTTGGTGCTGCATTTTAGGGCACGCTAATGATAGTTTCATTTATCTTTCTTCTTTAATTTTGATCCGGTTATTTCTGAGTACTGTTAAAAACACTTTTGAACAAATCGTTTTGACTAGTCTAGGTGGTTTCATTCGATTCTATGAAATACTTTCGTGTAACAAATGGGTTGGCGTTAAAACGTCCAGATTCGTTTGGTCTCGAAGCTTTACTTTTTCTGTAACAAGAGGCTTAATTTTTTTTGTCACAGACTTGTGAAGGGCTAACATTCTAAAATGAACGTCCCAATTTGAATTATTTGGAATTCGCGTCGACCCCTTTCCATATTACAGATGTCGCCAAAACTTCGCGTGCTATCCCAAACCAATGATGTCTTGAGACGTTCCTTTAACATGATGCCTTTGAGGACGGTTGTATCTACAGCAGTGATGGCGTTTAGCCCTTTATAAAACGTTGGAGTTTAAATTACCTTAGAGCCGTCAGTCTTCATGACCAGCGTCCATCCTCCATGGCCGCAGTCGCCAAGATCAGCTCCAGTCATGTGACAGTAGACAGGAAGCTTTTGACTGCCAAGCTGCAGCATGTATGCTTTGTTTTCGGTTGGCCTTTAAATTAAATTCGAATACTGTATTTTATTTGTTTATCATGGTGTATGTAATTATTGCATGTAAAGTTCACTGGGTCTTAGGTATTTTCAATGTATTGCATCAGCTATAGGAGCTTATGTAGATCCCGATAAAAAGAAAACAAATGAAAATTCTTGGTGTCTCAAAGAATACTTTTTCCTCTTTTTCTTCTTGTTAACCCAAAATAAGGAACATGGTACACTAAAAACCTGTTTGAATTCTACCGCAGTATCTTCTAAATATTTTCTTCATAACTTACTGATCTTTTTCATAAATCTCTTTGCAGGAACTTGGACCAGGACAACAGTCACATGAGTTCGAATCTAAACAAGTAGCACGAGATGAAAATTTTAAAAAGTTAAAATTACTTCTACACTATTTTCCAGCTAGCTATGTAAAATTCTAGACGGGTTAGGCATAGAAGCACTAGATTTCCATCTTTTGACCTCTTTTCGGCAAGAGCGGATTTTTTCGCGTTATTAAGATCAAGCCAATGTATTCTTGAGGTTTTTCCAATAGATGACCCATGTTTAACTGAAGCAAAAGAGAGATCCACAAAGATATCACGTTGATAAGATCATATTCTCTTGAGCCATTTGGACGATATTTTCAGTTAAAGATTTTGTCCGGCCATGTTCAATTTCTAATTACTGGCGCTTAAAAATACTTCCATTCATTAGTCGTTGAGTGAGTCTGTTTGAGGAATTTTGAAAGATTTTTTTGACAGTTTTACCCACCCTCTCTACAATTCAACTCGTGATCCTTACCAAATCCTTACTCATTCGTATAACTCAAGCCCGAGGTAGCTAGGGTACTTTCTTGTGGTGCCTTCCCGTATAGTGCATTATAAGGAGCTTTGTTTGGTTCAAACAAACGAAAATATGTAACTTTGGGAACTTTGGCAGAACGTTTCCGTCTAGCTCAGCGAAATCTCCACGAAATATATATACTACACTTGTAGATCTATAAATGATTCGCACAATTTCGTAATTTTTCGACGCAGTTCGACAAATTTCCCTTACACGGTATAGTACTGTACATGCGATTAAAGGATCATTCCACCCGCGTGCGATAAACGGCGATCTTGAGATTTTTAATTTTGTTTCACTTGATTCCAACAAAACTTTTCTAATTAAAGCTTTTATCGAGAGGATAGCATTTTTTCAATTATAATACATACCCTGTCGTTTTACGTTGGAGTCAGCGGCCCATGGGACACTATCCTCAAGGAGAAAAGAGCTTACCTATGTTTCAGTATATAAAGTGATTATTTCCTAACCGGTTTTTGATATAATTTTCCTGTAAGTTTTTTTGTTTTGTTTCTGTTCTTTGTTTTCACATCTAAGAATTTGTGAGACAAAAGTGCATCTGATATTGGTTTGCATGATCACAGTATTGTTAAAGTGTAATTACTGTAGTGTTATATTAGTCATAGTGTAATTCTTTTTTGTTTCACTAGTAGACTATTGAAAGTATGAATTAAAACTGATGAACGAGTTCATACAAGGAACATCTTAAAGCTCAATTAGGTGGTTGAATTGTGGAAGAACTCGATTGCTGTAAACAGGAGGTTGCATAACAATCTTATTTATGTATTAATGGTCTAATATAAATATAGATGTGGTCCGCCTAGATTAGCCCAGGCTACCGGCGGGTTCGCGCTGTTGCTATTGTCAAGCTTTTTTAACTTAATGTGTATATATTTCTGTAAAGTTGTAAATATGCGAGTCATAATAAAGTTGTTATTGTTGAGGTGTGAGTTAATTAGCTGTTTCCATGAAAATACATATATATCCAGCTCATAAAACATATACTCCATACTCCTTTAGAGAAAAAGTCTGATAGAGGTGTGGCAGTTTGTAATTAACGTAATCACGACTGCTCGTTCGTATGCAGGACAGTTGAGTTTCAGACAGTGGAAGGACGACAGAGATATTGTACTTGCCTGTTCCAATGAGCTAACCAGAATGAGGGAGGCGAAAACTGACGTCACCGAAAGCAGCATGACCTGCCACAGAGCGGGAAAATCACTCAATTAAATCCAAAATTTATTCATCGCATTACAACTTTTTTTTGCGTTAAAAATTTCGACTTTGCTAAAAGCATTCTGAAAGACCCTCCAGCCAGGAATTTGAAAAAGAATCTGCCATTGTTGCTCTATTTGTTGGGGGAGGATGGTTTGAAATGACAACATCATCTTAAAAAAATGTTGCTTCCCGTTCTTCGTCACTGGGCAAATTTATCAACACGAGAAATGTCGGCAGCGACACTGGTATTCGTAGAACTTACAGCTTTTCTGACTGACAGTAATAATAGAATCACCATACATATTTTAAAAGTGTAGTTTTTAATTATGTATTGTATTCTGAGCACAAGAAGTGAAATATCGTCAATTTCCCCGATTTGTGTTGTCACGACTTGGGGAAACAAAAAATCTTATTCACTGAGAATTTGATTCCATTTGGTTTGGGAAGGAATTGGAAATAACTCACACTGAAAAAGATTCCATTCCAAGATGTTTTAATTTGCGGTGAAAATTCGCAGAAAAAAAATTGAAGCCTTCGACAAGTAAATAACGATTGAACTGATGCTTACCATACACCGAAATCGAATGATACGATTAAAACAGATAGATATAAGTTTGCTTGTCATTCGAAGTAAGGTCTTAGTCGACCATGCGTCGTATTTTTCGAAAGACTGTATATGTCTGAATAAAAGTAACTTGAAGACGTGGGTGAAGAAAGTGACACTCACAAAAGCGCCACTATGTGAAGACTAAACCTTACTGTCAGAGCAAACTCCGGCCGAGTTACTAGTAAGGGATGATAAATTTTAGTGTCAAGTCTGCTTACGAGCCAAGTTGCCCATCAGGCCGAAGCTTATCCCGGTTTTGCTGAAGGATGAAGCGACTAGGACTATTTCTACTCTCCCCTGGAAGGGATGCTAGTCCATCGCAGGGTTAACCCCAGCGTTAAGTTCGCCGGTACTCATTTATACACCTGGTTGGAGAGAGGCACTGTGAGAGTAAAGTGTTTTACTCAAGAACACAACACAATGTCCCCGGTCAGGGCTCGAACCTGGACCGCTCATCCGGAGACAAGCGCACTAACCATGAGGCCACCACGCCTCTCATATAATCAAAACTGTATGTGTTTGAAACGCAAAGAAATCTCTACACCTGCTTCTTTGGGTGGGAAAAAAAGATAAGTATCACTGAGCTAATTATGGCAAAGCGATATGGGAAACAGGAAAAAAGGACAACAGAACATTAAGCATTACCTTAAAATCTTTCCTTTGTCCTGATTGAATTTTTAGGTTATCTGCAAGAGACTGCGAGCTTCGAGATATTGGCGATACAATAATCTTAACTAGCAAATGAGATATTGTTAACCTAACAGGCTTATGGACATGTAAGAATTTAGTGTTGACTTTGTAAATATTTACCAGTGGTGTTTCAAGGAATATAGCAGTCGAATTTCTCTGGTGCTCTTATACGAAAACGAGGCAGGATTTGGGTCATTATTAAGATGAAAATTTTCAAACACAATGAAATCAATCGAGATCACGCTAACTAAAGTCATTATATCAAACTCGTGACCTCGTCACTTCTAAAAGTTTGGTTTCCACAGCTTTTCCTCGAGGTTCTTATGTAAATGTATTCTAAACAACTTTTTACATAGGAAAACAGCCTTGAGAAATTGAGACTTAAAGACAGTTGTTGAAGTAGACTGTGTCAATTCTAACAAACAGCTGTAGAAACAATGTTTCACGGAATACGAGACCTCTGCGAAGGAAACGTGAGTTTTAGCTGAGTAAACCTTTGCTGCCCAATTTTTTTCATCGTAACAATTTTGTTCTTGATAAACTCATGCTTTCATGTGAAATTAAAACTACAATCACATTTAGAAATCGAACTTACACTTGACAAAGCTATTGAGTACTGCCAGGAAATTGTGATCAAATCTATTAATTATTTAGGAGTCTTTAAGACTAATTCCAAATCGTTTAGTTTTCATAACGGTAAAGTGACGAAACCTCTACGTCTAATAAAGTGGTGTGAACTGGCCTAAAAACGGATAAACGGATAAACGGTACTCTACCCGGCTATTTAAACGCATCCTTTAGAAAAAACTCGGATGCTCACTCAAGAATCACGAGAAACTGTAATGTAAATTTATTGTGCTCCCTTCACAGAAACATCTCGGAGGAGGACGCACCTTTGCCGTAAGAACTGTAAAGGATTGGAACAATTTGCCTGGATCACTAATGACAATGAAGTCTTTGAAATCCTTTAAGGCTGAATTATGGAAAATAGTGCTAAATTCTGAGAAGACAAAGACATCGTTTGACATAAATTAATGACAATAGATAGATGTTTGCATGTTCTTCGTATTAAATCGATTTGTCCAGTTATCAAATTCTAGAATATTTTTATTTTTATTTCTATTGTAAATAACATCTATCGCTAATGTAGTTTTTATTATTTGTACTTTGTATTTTTTAGAGGGCCACAAGTTCATCAGTAATGTTAGTTGTCACCCTCATAAAATAAAGTCTCTTCCTTACATTTACTTGCATTCTACAAGCAATTATTTGGCTGCCCTATGAGTGTTCACCAGTGAGTGCAATCCTACATCGAAGAAAAGGCGCTGAACACCGCACCCCATCCTCCTAAGTGGTGGTACAGGTATGTCGATGACGACAGCCACGTCTGCCTCTCCAGAGCGCACCTCAGAGAGTTCCATAACCATCTCAACTCTATCAACGGAACGTTAAGTTCACCGTGGAAGAGGAGAACGACGGATCTACTGCCTTTCTCGACAAAATGACAACGAGTCAAAACACCACAATACCTGCCAGCCAGCCTGAAGAACGTAGGGATTTCGTCATTTTACCGTACATACAAGGAATTTCGGAGAAAATCGCAAAAACCGTGAGTCAGTTTCATGTCAATGTGGCTCATAAGCCCGTAAAAACCGTTGGTTCAATCTTAAAATGACCTTAAGACAAATTTAGCGAAGATCTATGCACTGGAGTTGTTTACAAAATCAAATGCAAAGATTGCGAAAAAGTGTACATTGAACAAACCTCGCGCGCTTTAAAAACAAGAACAGAAGAACACAAAAAAGCCGTCATTACGGGTGATAAGATCTCTTTGTTGGCACAACATTGCGCACAAAACAGCCACGAATTTGATGTCGATGATGTACAGATAGTGGACCGCTGTTCGCAGTGGTCGCGAAGATTGTTTCTAGAAGCGTTTCATTCTCCGTGTGACCAGAATTCTTTTAATGAGCACATCCAGATTCTAGTCATGTAAACTATTTTAGCCAATCGCTAGGGGGAATCTCACTCATTTTTAAAGGCCTCAGTTACATCTTGATGCCGTTTTTAACGCATAACTTTTATGCTGAAGAAGGTTATAGTGTTTTTAACGGAAACGTCCAAATCAGCCCCTTTTGGTCAGTGACAACAAATATCATGCCTGACTACAATAAGAGTAGTTTTAAAATCACGAGTAGTGTAAATCCTGAATTTCCCGAGGTTTCATGCGATTACTTATTTATTATATGTTAGATAAAATTACGAGCAAGCCTGCATTAATTTGCACCACAGTGGAAAATAAAAGTGCTCTCCACCAATCACAGTGTAGTAAACGTTCCCGTCATATAATAAACAAACAGGCTTACAAATAAATTCACCATGCCTGCCTAATAGAGCATCGTTTTACAAAAACTTAAGAAAATTGAGAGGAATGTAATGAGAACCAGGCTAAAAAATATTTTTTATTGGCAGTTTTAAAGGCGTTAACGGTGTCTTTCTTACGTACTTCGAGTGGAATCGCATTCCAAAGATTAACCCCACGAACTTGAAAAGCACGCCTCCTCAGTTTCCCTGTTATAACGTGGACACACCAGAAGATTATACATTCCATGTTCCCAAGTATGGTTTAGTTACCACAAAGTGTTTCTCTGTCGTACATAAATTGCATCGTTTGGTGAGGTTTGTGTAGACTTCATCTTGGTAACGATTCCTCACGTGATTGTGAAATCTTCCTGCTTATCCTTCAATTGCTACCGGTGTTGGCTGCGCTTTCTGTCATTCTATCGTTTGAATGACATCTGGCGGTTTCCCCATCAGGTTCTATTTACTGTTAGTTCTTGTAAAGTATGGATCTATGTAATCTAATTCTTTAAAAAGCAAATCGATTAATTTCACCGTCACCTCAAGAGACGACCCTGGGACGTAGCACTGACCCATAGTAGGCAGCCAGCCAGCCAGCCAGACAGCTTGGTGCTGTGAGTTAGTGTGAGGGGTAGTGGAGGGAAGGGGGAGAACAGGCAGTCTGTCTATTGTTTGCCTGTATTTTTTTCCTATCTGTCTGCTGCCTGTTTGTTTGTCTGTCTGTCTGTCTGGTTTTTCAAAGAAACGCGTTGGCGGTATACCGTCATCGGCGTCGCTCCTTTTAAGCGTGACAACTCAACCACACCACAATCTTTATCCAACCTCTCAGCAGCGATTTCAGACTTTTGTATATACATCAATACATCAAGCATTTCTAGGCAAGTTAATCACTTTTCCCTACGCATTGACTTTGGGCACTGCGTGTCAATGCTTGTCAATTTGCTATTAGCAAGGTATAGCAAGTGTTAGATCCCTACTTCTTATTTTAAGGTTCTTTTGATAGCCGTGAAACCTGTGGTCGTAAGGGAGTTGTAGAGGAGCCGTCAGTCAATATTTCTAAAGAGGACGGATGTGCAGTCGCAGATTACTGGGGTTCAACAGTTGCTGTGTTGTAAGAAGCTAGAATAACCTAAAGTTCGCGTTACCCTCATCGAGCGGAATGGGTCAGGAGGAAAAGAGATTGGCGTTATCCTCTTGATCGGCTATTTTCATGAGTTTCTGCGGACCATGCATATTCGACATCACCTGGAGTTTCCCAAAGACTACAAGCAATATTGACTACTTACTAACCAAGCGCGAGGGCCTTACTGGGGAACATTGGCCAGAGGTCGTGGCAATACGGACAGAGTGAAGCGATGTCCGTACAGAGGCGACCGAGTGCCAACATTCCCCAGCGAGGCTCGAGCAAGTAAGGTCAGTGAACAGCTTATTAGACGGCACTCGAAAAGAGAAAATACACGGCTAATGATCATTTCCATGAAAAAGGTCGAAATTTATTGGATGATTGGTGTTCATTACTTCATAGAGTTTCACTGGATAACAACAAACAAATAGACCCTTGCTGGTCCCTAAGATACACGTGTACAAAGTTACCGACCGATAGGCTACGCTGGAGTCGTCTGATCTGTTTTCAAAATTAAGCCTCACATTATATGCAAATTGAACGGAATCTTTCTTTTTAGAGTTCTAACAGGTTACAAGCCAACTGGCTGGCATCACGTATGCGTTGCTAAGGAAGTGATAACTCCATAAGTTACTGTCTGGGGTACATTAACCATAAGGCGAATCCGGCAACAGTTATGAAACCAACCAAGCCCGCCCTCGTGCTTGATCCACCAGCCATGTATACAATGTTTTGTAGCACTGCAAATATAATTGTAGCGGTCATAGCGCCTCCATCTACCACACATTGGACCAAAATAGCGATTGGATTTGCAGCTTCTCCCGCAGCTGTGAACCCTATCCAGGCGCCTACGCAGGCTAGTCCAAATCGAGACGCAGCTACGGTTACAGTGCATCCAACTACAGCAGCTAACGCATACAAAATGTAGTCTTTGAAACACCATTCATTTTCTTCGCCATTTGTACTCTCGTCTGAAAAAAGAAACGTTGTAAAGATATTACACACTATTTTAAGGTCAAGTTATTTTAACTAAATTTTTTCACGTGACAGCCAGGTGATCTTACCAATGTGTCACTAAGAGTGATACATTGATAAGATCATTTGATAACTTTGGAGGCTCAAGCATTTGAGGAGAAAGAGTGATTTTGCTCTTTTACAGTAGCTATTGCTCATGAACTAAAATCAAACTTATTATAATCCATTTCTTGACCAACATTATGTGAATATGAAATAAGGGTCCAATTATTTGTAACGTACTTTTGAGCCGAAATTTGTCAGCCACTCGTCGTTGAACGCTGGGGACTGGGCACAAGATTGTCAGGATCTATTTTTAGACCATTTTCTAGGTAAAATCAATGCTTTTCTCAAACCACAAAATGAAAATCACGCTTTATCAAAACGTTCCGCTCGTCTTCGCAAAGCTCTGAGTGAAATCTACGATGCAATACCTTATATTTCACGCTCTGCCATGAAAGCTAAATTATTTCGCCGCAATTCAAACAAGCACTGGTGAATTTGAAAAGCATACTTTACAAAAAGTTTGGCAGCAGGAATAGACGTACTAAAAGGTCGACCATAAAAACCAAGGAAACTTATCGAGCAGGAAATTCTTTAAGTAAAAGAAAAGATGAATGCCTGAAGCTCAGAGGATCTCCGAAACTGTCTCAATAACTCGAAGCGTGATTCGCAATGGTGTTGTTAAAATCTCTCTTTCACTGCTACGATCCAGAGAAGGCATATAGTTCATATATTGCTGGACATTATATTCAGGGCACTGATCATGATCATCGATGTTTACGAAATTGTCGTGGACTATCTTCCATGAAATGTAATCTTCTAAATGTCCACGAAAATATCTTTACTGCAATGAGTTGAAAGCCATCGTGGAATATTACTTTTCAACAGATGTATGAGATTTGCTGACTCAAGATTATAGACTACGGACTACATTTAGGCATAAATAGCGCCCCAGTTACCCCGAATATGACTTAGGTAGCCTAAATAGCACACAGGTTAGCCTGTTTACGGTTAGTACTTGGTAATGGAAATTGAATGTACGATGTTAGCTAAAAACTCCACAGTCTGCGGCCTTCTGTCTACAGTCTGCAGTCTGCAAATGTCATACACCGCTTTTCAACCGCAGCTGTCCGGCACTAAAACACTTCAGTTAACAATTGAAATTTCGACAATAGAAAACACACCGGCAATTGACGTTACGTTACTTATTCCACTTACCATTTGCACAGGTCTGCGTGGCGAAAAGCAAAACAATACAAAAAGTAAATATGCAGTTCATCTTGTGGGTCTTCGCTTTGCTTGCTAATTGTTTCTCTCAGTGTACCGATTGCGAGGGACTACGTTTCTGTCATGTAATTGGAACGTGGCGAGCTTTGATTGGGTGTATTAGAACAATAGAGGAAACTGAAAGTCTGGATGAGGGTACCCCCTTTAACATTTTTGCTTCGTTTCAGCAGAAATGAAACTATATTGTTTTGGTTTTATCGTCGAAACATTTCATAGTGGTGATAATATTCAATGTAAACATGTTCAGAGTGGACAAAGAAACTGGCGGACACATGCCGTTCAAATGTGGCTAAAATGACCTTCACAAACACAAATAAAAAGACCTATATCTTATTAGATGTTTTGGTGTGTAGTATCGCTGTGTATTTTGACGAGCCCGTAGGACGAGTCAAACTACAAACAACGAGTAAAAAGATAAAGCGATACTACACACCAAAACATCTAATAAGAGATTTATTATCTAACTGCTGTAGTCAATACATTTATTAGCGGAAGAGGGAGAGTGTGACAGTTTTGCGTGCGCGCGCCGACCTGTCCAGCAAACAGGTTTGCTACTGTACAAACAACTGTGCAATATCGCTGTTGTACTGCTATTTGGACGGTATTCACTACAGTTGGATAATAAAGTACAATTCAATACAAAAGGAAAGTTTTGACGACCGAGGTGATTCTTGGCTAGACTGGAAAGGCTCATGATAAAAGCAAAAGCTTACCTTTCCGTTTTGATTTGTGGTATAAACATGTTGTCAGAAAGTGCGTATTTAATTAATTAAGGTTCCTGTAGACCTGTAAGGGCCGATTTTACGGAAAAAAATTCTTGAAGAGTTTTAAGGAGTTGTCCACAAAAAGATAACTTTTTCAAACAAGTCAACGTCCGCAGAGTGCGATAAACCAATTAAAGTGTGTCAACCACCGAGCAGCGACAATTTTTGTGCCAATCGAATTTCGCTGTGTCTGAGTCTCTTAAGCCAACGATAGATACACAAGGCGATTTTACTAAGGTTTCCTTAAGGTTTCCGTAGTATATATATCAACATACATCACTACGATAAGACGAGAAAGCCTTCCAAAAACCTCCTGTTGCATTACAATAAAACAGTACATTTTCGATTAAGTGCTGCAAGGTTGGGGTATTAAAAATTGATCTTTTTTTATAAAGCGTTGCCAGGAGTTTCGTTTCTTGGTATAAACTTCTCATAGAACAGTTTTGATGTGACTTTCAACAGCTCACTTTCATTTAGACTAACATAGAAATTGCGTTCTACACTACCCTGGGTGTCCGAGGGTTTTTTGTTTTCGAGCAACTTCGCCATGAAAACAACTACAAAAAAAGACCCTCTGGCACCCAGGGTACTGAGTTCTAGACTAGTTGCGCACAGAAATGCCGATGACTCTCGCTGTTTAAAAACAAGCTTAATCTCCATTCATTTGATCGTTGTAGCATGCCAATCAATCCAAACTGCTGAAGGGGCTGTGAACACGGTGAAAGGCTTGAGAGATTTACATATTTTGTAAGGGAGGTAAAGGGTAAGAGAGTTTAATTCCCATAGAAGCCTTAATCCCAACCCACTCCCTCTCAAGTTATGTTTAGAACACTTCCAGGCTCGGAAATTTAAGGAGGATCAACAGGTTTGTTCATACGAACAAGTGGCTTTAGACATTTTCATCCTCTGCGAGAACATTCAAAAAGCGAGTGGTAACATCTTCCGCGGACGGACAGGGTACCATGTCTAAAAATAACTTGGAAGGGTTTACCGTGTAAAAAAAGGCATATGTGGAAAATAAACCGCTCTTGCCCTCTATCCCATCTTGCAGGTGTCAGATAATAAGCGAACTCCAACTTTTAAGCTTCCCTGAAGGTTTTTCGGGAAGCAATTTTCTATCCAAAGCAGTGTCCTTATTATTCTAAACAATTTGGTAAAAACATCTTAACTATCACGAGAGACCACACTTGGAAAGTTTGAATTCTTTAAATCCGATCATGCATCAAAGCCCTAGTTTACGATAATGGAACTATATACTGGAAGTATAAAAAAAACGACTTTTTCTTCAATATCCCAAAGAATTCATCTCAACGACTTATTAAATATAGCCTGCCTGTCTGTCTGTCTGTCTGTCTATTTGAATCTCTGTCTGGTTATTCACAGAAACACGTTAAAAGTGTATACCGACGTCACTCTTTTGAAGCTTGATGACGCAATTACTCCACGGTCTTTATCAAACCTCTCGGCAGCGAATTCTTAAAACTTGTTTATTCGTGCCATTTACATCAAAAGCAGATCTGCGCAATTTTGTATCATTGTTGGCTGCGTAATGATATGCATAGGCACTCTGTTTATGTATGCCAACTTGTGATTATTCCTATCGCAAGTGCTAGGTCTTTACTTCTTATGTTAAAGTTCTTTTAATAGCCGTGAAACTTGTCAAGGAGTCGTAGGTCAATATTTGGTAACTGGACGTATGTGCAGTTGCAGAATACTGCGTTACAATAATTCCTGTACTATTGGAAGCTATAATAATCTATAGCTCGTGTTACTTTTATCCAGCCTTATCCAGTGAACTGTGTCAGATCAGGAAAAAGAAATTGGCGCTATCCCCTCGATTAACGCTTTTCACTTTACAGTTTCTGCGGATCATGGATATTTGACATGACCTGCAGTTTCCCAACTTTACGGCAGGATAAAAGTATAGTCTAACTTTATTCGCAGACAAGGGCACTACTTTCATCTATAGAAAAACAAGTAAGCGGATTAGGGGTGGGGGGATGCATTGTTTTCATTCTCCGATCTGCAGAAATTTTGGACAACTCCATCGATCCATAGCCTACAAATGAACAAAGATTTCCGTGAAATTACAGGCAGATCAAATCCGTTCGCAATGACTGGGTATTCAACCTACAGATATTATTGCTTAAATCCCAATCTGCAAAGCGCTGAACCCCTTGGATGACTAGCGCAATGTCTGAGAAACTGATGTTACTACTACAGAGGGTTGTACTGAACTAGATTTGAGCAATGTCGAAAGTTTTCCTTTTTCAGAGTCGGCCAGGAGAACAGAGGCAACCATTGGACGGGTTGAAAACAGACGCAGTTTTCATAATCCGTAAACAGGCTTTAGTTGTCCATAAAATCCAAAATTCCACGATCAGCAAACCTACTTAAAAGAGTAACCGAAAAAAAAAAAAAAGAAAGAACAAAATCTAGTTAATTGTATAATTGGTGTTTAATCGTTTTCATGCCTGTCAACAGACAACAACAAAACAGAGATACCTTTCTTGTTCCCTAATATACAACCCATATGTATTGTACAGATTTACAGACCGACTAGCTACGTTATAGTGTGCAGATTTGCTATAAAACACAAAACTCACAATATTGCAATCAAGAATATATGATTAAATGGAACAAAAATGTTGTTAGAGTTCTAAGTTATATAACATAAGCGTTGAAAACGAAGTTAACTCTGGACCACTCACTTATTTACAACTTCTACCTTTAGAAAAAGGTGTATACGGGAGAAACGTTCTTCTGCATGGTACCTATACGCTTAGCTGATTTAACTTTAAATGAACGATAGGACACCGAATATCTCAACAAATTGCAGTGGAGACTGTATCTTCAAAACCAGAAATGGTTCTCAGTGTTACAACTAGTTTTTTCCTTCTCAGTTACTAAATGTAGATAGGGATACAACGTAATAAAGTGACAGTCTAAAGTGAAAGTCTATCCTTATGCCAGAAAACAGTCCATTCCGATAGGAATTATTGTTTGTCTGATGAACAATTTGGTCCATCGTTAAGACACGGAGCTAGCTTGTTCTGAATCCAAGTAGCCATTGCTGCACCACCTGCAAAAAGAGCACTTTTTGCACTGGCGCCTAAACCGGCAGCTCCTGCGCTCTGAAGCACGGCAAAAAGGCTTGTGGAGCCCACAGCACCTCCATATACTGTAGACTGGATGCCGGCAGCAATTGAGCCCGCGGCAACTCCTCCAGTGGTGAATCCTGCCGCGGTAAGGACGACAGGAGCAGCGGCAACCAATAGAGTACCTCCGACAATGGCAGCTGCGTGCTCCTTCCAGCACGATATGTCTCCCATATCAGTCCATATCATATAAGCATCTGATGCTGGGAAAGGTAACATCGCGGTTAGAAAATGATAAAAACAAGTCACCTTATTTGAACTGAGTTTCGGCGGTTAAATGTGGCGGATTCGTCCGACGTTCTACAAATAGTCTAATAAATGAATGGTTTGTTCTCTGGTACACCGAACAATCTTTGCAATGGATCTGCATGAAAAAATGTGCGTATAAATAAATTGAATATTGTAGTTCTTGGGATTGACACGAGTCGCCAGTTAACAAAAATATATTCTGAAAGTGAAGTATGATCATCGCAGTAAATTTTCCAATTTAAGCAACTGGAAAGAAGAAGCCTGAAAA